TCATAAGATGTTAAAAAATACTAACTTTTACAGCGAAAGTATCTTCTGACATTTAAAAAACCCGTTTGATCATATTAATGACGGAAACGCGTTGCGATTGCGATGTGTTGTTGTCGCCGGTATCGGAGTTGCCGAGCGACTCGATCCAGTTTAAGAGCAATGACGCCGCGGCGGAATGACGTCTCTGACACGCTAGGTGCAGCGCCCATTCGAGCAATAATTCTGTTGACGGAATGCGTCTCATTAATACGAGAATATCACGTAAGTGTGTAACTTCATTACAGGGCGATCAAGTTACCAATAGCGTTGCATTGTCCGTTGACGGCCGCGCAAAGAATTAGCAGAGACCGTCCGAAATAATCGGTTGTCTCGAGGTCGGCTAGTTCCGGCCCGACGGAGTTTAGAATTAATCGCGCGCACTTGACGGATCCCGCACTTGCCTCGACATGCAGTTGTAATAAACCACACGACGAATCCCTCGGAGCAGCAACCGCCTGTCCGCCGAACTTGTTGATGAGTAACTCTAGGCAGTGCGCGGATCCTTGATATACGGCGCAATGTACGGAAGAAAAAGGATTACCTGGAAATAATTAAGAAAAAAAAAATCAGCTTGACATACGTAACGCATTGTTGGATAATCATTTTTGAAGTGTAAGAAACTACATGTCTTCCAAAGAATCGAACACGTTATGATTCAAAAGATACTCCACGCAATTCGAGTTGCCGTTGTAACATTAAACTCAATGGAGCACTGTGCAGCCTTGATCGTCCTTCAAAGTCGCCGCAGTCGGAGCGGCTTTAACGAGGGCGGGTAAAGCAACAATCTACAAACAGACTTGCGATGTAGAACAGCTCTATACTAGGGCAAAAAATTCTGTACGAACGTAACTTCTTACCTGCCACAAGCAGCTAAATGTAACGGCGTTTTACCGTTTACATCTTGCACTGGCACTTGGGCACCATGCTTTAACAACAATTTCACCAACTAATTATCACGCTTGTTGATCACCGCGCGAAACGGGTTTTTGTAGGTTATATCTTCGGGGGTGAGGAGAAGTCAAGTGTCTTAAGGTCAAAAACCTAGTGACAAGTTAGATCAGGTTATGTAAAGTGACTGCCCTCCATTCTGGCGGTGAAATAAAAAAGCTAAACAGCATTTCAGCTACAAGTCAACACTGTGTAACACTGTGTCGCACTGTGTATGACTGTGTTCCCTTGCTGGAAAGCACCCTCTCTCTCTACTGGTTAAATCTACGTCGGTTTCTCCTCTCCGCTTTTTCACACCCGATCAACTTAACTCTTACTATGTCTCAGTTGGTCTCAGTGTCTAGTACGGTATTGCCTTGCACATATGTTAACTTTATTTCTGCCATCGCCTCAGTTTCTTGTACTTCTCAACGTCCTGATTTTGTTTTCTCTACTATACAGCCAGATTCTGTTTATAAGCTCATCTTTAATGGACCTCTTCACTCTTATGCGTCTGGCTATGATGGCATCCCGCTTTATGTTCTTCGCATTGTTTGGCCTGTTATTTCTCAGTGGCTCATTCCTCTTTTCAATCGTTCACTTAAAGCTTCCGTATTTCCTTCATCATGGAAACGTGCGTTGATTCGCCCTCTCTCAAAGATACGCACTCCACTGTCACCGTCTGATACGCGACCTATTGCTAACCTTCCTGAAATGTCAAAAATTCTTGAACGCATGGTGGCCTCACAAATTACCGACTATTTGAACGAACACAACCTGCTTAATCCCAGACAGTCTGCGTATCGTTCTGGTTTCAATACGTAATCTGCTCTATTACGTGTCTGTGACGATATTAGAATGGGAATTGATAAAAGACTCATTACAATCATGATTCTATTCGATTTTAGTAAAGCGTTTGATACGGTCCCACATCTTCGTTTGCTTATCAAACTGAAAAAAATCGGTTTTTCTGATGGGGTTCTCGCGTGGATTTTTTTTTACCTTACTGGCCGCTCGACGCTGTATTCGACGACGAGGGTAAATTTTCTGAGTGGCTTTTCACGTTGACTGGCGTCCCTCAGAGCTCTGTACTTGGCCCACTTCTATTTGCTCTTTACATCAATGATATAGGAGGATTCCTGTCTTTTGTTTATCATATGATATTCGCGGATGATGTACAAATATATCTCCAATGTACACGCGCTGACATTCTTCACGGTCTTGAGTTGATTTCAAGGGATGCAAACGCTATTTTTGATTATGCTACGTTAAATGGTCTTAAATTCAATCCTGCAAAATCAAAGGTACTTATATTTGGTAGTCAGGCTTATGTCAATGATATTGACCTCCATTGTCTACCTCCTATTATTGTAAACCATACGCCTTTACCCTTTGTTAACGAAGCTAAGAATTTAGGTGTAATTTTTACGAATAACCTTTCTTGGAAAAAAACATATATTGCATGTCTCTCAAAAAGTGCATTACTCTTTGTACAAGCTTAAGTTTAACAAAAACTCCTTGTCCACAAGGTTAAGGATAAGACTGGTATTAGCTTTAATTATGCCGCACATTGACTACTGCTGCCTAGTCTATCATGGTTTGACTGGAGAATTGAACACTTTATTACAGAGACTTGTGAACTGTTGCATTCGCTTTATATTTGATCTTAAGCGTGACGAACATATTACCCCGTTCAGGCGACAATTGGGGTGGCTTACAGTTGAAAACAGGAGGTTATACTTTCTTGGCTGTCAAATGTTTTGCATGCTTTACATGCGCTTTCCTTCGTATCTGCGTGACAATTTCGCTTTGCTTGATCCGCTGTTGAGGAGATCTGACCGCCGTCTTGTTGCATCCCAAACCTTTCATATTCTTTCTCATAGAACTACCACTTATAGAAACTCCTTTCATCTTTCATCAATATACTTTTGGCATTTTCTTCCTAGTAATATTACTTCTGCTTCTTCAATTGTCTCCTTCAAAGGTTTTCTCAGGGCATATCTGTTGGCGCGTGAAGTTGCATGATATTGATTGCTGGCGCGGGACCTATAATGTTGTTTTTCCCTGTTATTAGCTTGTAAGTTGCGTATTAGTTAGTTTTACTCTACTTATATTGTTCCTAATTTTAAGCTGCGTTAGTTCTAGTCTTTTTACAGTGTATACTGTTGTGATAAGCTGTTAAGTTGTGCTCTACTGTTAACTGATTTGTGTAAGAAAGTGCACGCACATTTGTTCTCTATTTTGTATTGTTAATCTTTGCCTTTTAGTTTTTCTTGGGCATAATAAATTATATCTCTCTCTCTCTCTTTCTCTCTTTCTCTTTCTCCCTCTCTCTCTCTCCCTTCCTCCCTCCTTCCCTCCTTCCCTCCCTTCCTCCCTCCCTTCGTCCTCGTTCCTTTTACCTGTCCCCGCCCATCATTTCTTCTTCCCAGTCCCACTCTCCTTGTAGTCCTTCCTCTTCCTTTTGCTTCCATTTAGCTCCATTTTTTCTACCTTTCTCTCCATTCTTCTTACTTTCTCTTCAAGTTCCTCCATCCTCTCCTCCTTCCTTTTATCAGCCTCTTTCTTCTCCTTCGACATCTTTACTTTCTCCTCTAACTCCTCTATCCTCTCCTCCTTCCTTCTATCAACCTCTTTCTTCTCCTTCGCCATTTTCTTTAATTTTGCCTCCACAATCCTTTCCACCGCCTCTGCTATTGCTCTCCCCTCGTATTCCATCCTGGGTAATCTGTAACAAAGTTAATTGCTCACCACTTCTTTATTCCACTTTCCTCCTCTAACTCTCTCTCCCTCCTCTTCCCCCCTCCCCCTTCACTATTCCCTTTTTCCTTCCTCTAATTCCTCCGCCTCCCCTTTTCCTCTCCTTCTTTCCCCTTCTAGTTCTAACATCCATTCCTCACCTCCCCCTTTCTCATCTAACACCCATCTCACCGCTTCCTGCCAACTACCATTTCCTGCTTCCCATCTCCTACATTCTTCTCATACATGCTCCCACGTTTCCTCCCTATGTTCACATAACCTACATTTCTTCTTCTCATCCGTTTCCCAGTATCTGCTCTCTCTCATCACTCCCTAATCTAAATCTCGTCACCCTGCTCCATCTACTCTCTCCCCATCCCTTCTTCAAATATCCCGGTATACCTTCTCCTTTTATTAGCTTGTACCATTTATTATAGTCAGCTTCCTCGATCCTCTCCCATCTCTCTCTCCTTTGCACTTCCTTATCCCCACTAAACAGTTTGTGAAACCATTCGTCTCCGTTTTCTCTCAGTTTTTCCAGATCTTTCAACTCTACTCCTCTGTCTTCAAAGAATTTTCCTCTTTCTCTCTCCCAGCTTGATCCTGTTTTCCCTTCTTTCACCCTTCCCTTCAACTCTTCCCAGCATATCCTCGTCAGTTTACTTTCTCTACCCTCCTCTAACTTTTTCTCAAATCTCCATGCCCTCATCCCTGCCCTTCCTCTTAACTTCCCCCTTTGCATCTTCTCCCTAACAAGATACCATGGCGTTCTTCCATCTACTCCCAAGATCTTTTCCATTCCTTCCCCTTTTTTCCATCCCCATTTCCGCTCCATATCCCAGGACCGTCCACACGAGTCTATCAAACAGCCATAATCTTTCTCACCAGTCTCTCCCAAATCTCCTCTTCCCTATCCCCTAGACCTTCCCCATCTTTGCCGGCGCCTTTTTGATCCTTTCCCTTACCTGCGCTTCCTGTCCCCCATTTCTTTGAAACATGTACCCTAAGTATCGAAATTCCTTCACCTTTCCTAATTCTTTTCCTTCCCATCTCCACCTTCTCTTATTGTCCCTCCCTCCTCCTTTCCTAAATCTCATTATTTTTGTTTTCCCCACGTTCAGCTCCAATCTCTTCCTGCTTAGATATCCTTCCAGTCTTTCCAACATGCTCCTCATTTGGTCCTCGTCCTCCGCCATTAACACTACATCATCCGCATATGCCAAAGTATACACCCTCTTACCTCCTAACATTACTCCTCCCTATTTGACTCTGCCCATTTCCTGTTCCATATCCGCCAATAACACGTTGAACAACAGTGGGCTCAATGGGCAACCCCTGCCTTACACCCCTTCCCGTCCAAAACTCTTCTCCTATTCCGTCTCCTACCCTTACCCTGTTTCTCGTCTTCCTTAGAATCTCCTCCGTTCTTCTCACCAGAGATTCGTTAATTAATTTGGCTAAAATTTGGAAAAAACCGTTTCAGAGCAGCTTTCCAGGCCTGGAAATCTGAACTAGCGTAAAATAGACACATTGGAGCTGATTGGAGAGGCTTAACTTCTATAAGTCTTAAGGGTCAGCAGGAGTACGGATGCACCTTATGCACTAAGTGGACTTTAATCTGTACTTTAATTGCAATATTCATAATATTTATTTTCGGAAAATTTATTTTGATCTTTTTTCCAAAATCCGGCTCTGTACCGGGTTGCGGCTGATTTTACTGATTAAAACGAGCATGATTTTAATAAGATTCATTAATTATAACTTGGCTAAAATTTGGGAAAAACTCGTAGTTCACGGCTAGCCTCAATTGTAGAGCTTTAAAAAAGTAGGTATACTCGTCCGCCATTTTGGTCCAACCGCATGTGTGCGCATGTGCGAAAGCTGCGATAGGTTCCTTGGTAACCATTTCTTTGCAATTCTGCTGTAAAACTGCACGAAAAGTCGTGCACTAACTTTCGGGCAGATCATGCGTTTTCTATTTCCAACTTTGACTATTTTTCTGTTGGCAGAAACTTGCTCTCGTCGTAGTGAAACAGAATTGTGAAAGATATGTGTATGCATTTACATATAGCAGAATAGTGCAAGAAATGCGGCAGATGCTTGAGCAAATCGCAGTGCAACATAATCGCGCCAGATTTGTAGCAGCGCCTACTGCTACCCATACAGCACAAAATATTTTTAAAATATTTTTTAGGAAGATTGAAATAATTTACAAAAATATTTTTTATATTTATAGCACCGCAGTGGTGTTGGGTAAGCCTTGCTGGCGAAGATTATCGCGAATGTCATGATACAATAAGTATTACGCGGCATTTTTTACTACTTGTGACCATTGCATTTCACTCGACCAGCTATATGTACTGAGGAGGGTCCAAATCAAGGACCGAAACGTTTACTTTATTATACATATTTTATTCAATTTGTAATATTTTATTACTGTCGCCCGTCCATCGTCGCGAACGAGCTCTCATTTGCCTTGTTTTGTTTATTTATCGTTATTGAGAGCGTTATCTTTGTTATTTTAGCAGAATATACCGTACATCTGATTTATCAATCAAACATTTTTCGAAATTTGTAACGCCAAAATGGACCGTATAGCCTACATCTCACAGCACGAAGCTATAACAATTTCACAATCTCCACTTAACTTACAGTAATTATTTCTATAAATATTTATAACATAAATTAAAAACAACTTTAATAATATTGATGATAATTATTTACACTTTATTTTAAAGTATTTATTATAATCTTTCAGATATTTTTATTTTCCGGACATTATAATATTTACAAAATATTCAACGTATATGTATATTTTCAAAATATTTAAATTTTTTTAATAAATATTTTATAAATATTTTATAAATATTTTGTGCTGTCTGGGAGTTTAGCGCGCTCGGCTGTTCTTTTTCTGACGGGTAGATGCTTGCACGCTTTTGTCGCATTTCTGTCACTCGGATCTATACGGCAAAAACAACAATTTAAGCGAC